CACTGTGCTACAGCTCAGACAATGTGAGTGCATCTTGCTATTTTTATATCCTTATGTTGGAGTTGAACCAGGCATCTTTGAGAAACACACAGAGCAAGGGAAGTATACATTTTTGTGTGTGTGTTTCTCTGTTTGCAAGAGCAACGGTAACAAAGAAGCTATACAGTAGTTTAGTGCGGTGGATTTGTGGTCGCAAAACTGCTCTCCTAATTTTAGCATAGGGGATAAGCCGACAACACTGCTGATGTTATTCAAACTGTAGTCAAAGTGTTGACAGTGAGGATGGCATTTTTTGTTGTCGCTTTAATCTTGTTTATTGATGAATTCAGATCTGTGGCGTGCACTCTCCTTGGTACTGAAGTGATATTGATGTTGCTGTCCTTTAGAAGATTATCTAGGTGGATTACTGCCTTTGATGGCTTGTGTCTCTGTGGTAAACTAGCATTAAAGGCCAGTAACACCCGCCTGGGTGTGGTGATCTTGGTGTGTGTTTTTTAAATACTAGTAAAACAAGTCTCTTTAGCTTTGGCTGCTGCAGCAGCACCTGTGACTGGCAGGCAAATCCCTTTCTTGTTATCAGGAGAGATTCTTAACAGAACACACAAACAAAAAGTTGTCACATTTATATATTATTTGGGGTGTAAATCAGGATGCAATATCATATCAATTGTTTGGACAGCAATACAATATTTGTTGACATCACAAAATCTGCCATAATATGATTTTGATTCAATTTAGGGGCCTGCGATCAATATAAGATGATATCAGTAAATATCCTCATTGCTTTATTTGGCTGTTTGCTATTGTTGTCTGCCTGGTGCTCAGCCGCTAGCACTGTTTTAAGAGTTAAGGGAGGAGATATGCTTGGACAGAAATGGTGACACTGACATGCCTTGGGAGTTTCAAAATAAAGGTGTATCTTACAGTTCTTTACAGTAATCAGTCCTTTTTTGTCTCCCTAAATGTTACTCCTGCGTTTATGTACTTTCTAGTTAGAATATAGCAATTGCAGCTAAATACAACCTTTGAAGGCGCATGGATGTACCGATTGATTTTACAATATAGAGAGAAATCAATATTTTCCTCAGTGTACAGTACTGGTCCTGTGTGTTGTGTTTGGTCGATATATTCATATACACTAACAATATCTCTGAAAAAATCAAACCCAGACTGCATCATGAGAACAGTCGAAATGGTTAAAGTATTCTAGATTAAACACAACAGTGTGTAACTGGTTCAAACAGACTCACTTCATATGAATCATGTGTGTACCATATGGTGACAAAATTGGGTTTTTATGAATTATTGTATAGTTCTGAATGAAGTGTTTCATTTTGAAACAGATCTGAAGTGTTCTGCTACTTGTCTGTGTGGTTGTGTGAATTGTGTGCAGTGTTTTGATCAGATGAACCCTGCTTAAGCAATTGCAAAAAAAACCTGTAAAGAATGATATGTATGGACATATCAACTTTGCATCAATAGTAGATATTGGATCATTGCTCCTTGAATCGATATATCACCCCTCAATATTATCCTGACATCATGTGAGATCATGTGATGTGTTGAGTAGCTACAAAAGAACACAAGGTATGTTGCTGAGTTTATTTTCTAATGTAGGTTGAGAATGAAGTCAGACGGTGAAAGACAGTGATATCATGTACTGACATTGAGTGACGGACCTGTCAGCTAGGTGTCATTCTCTTCTGCAAATTCTGATTTAATACTTTTTCGCTATGTCTGGTGGTTGTATTTCTCATATCAATGATACCTTTGGCAACAGAAACAATCCCGTTTTGTTCTGGTTACATGTTCAACACACAGTTGCTGAAGACAAAAATTTAGCTTTGACTGGTTGTTAGTTGTTACAGACACAGACGGTGCAACAGGTACCAGAGCTCCGCAAAGACATTTTAGAAAATGCAAAGTTAACATTAAGTATTTGTTGAAAAATAAATCAGTATTTGCTAAACTGAAGGCAAATTACTTTAGAAAAGAACCAGCGTTGGCGGTTAGCCACTGAGAATAGCCACTGGGACCAGAGTTGGGTATAACGCGTTAGTTTGCTGTTTGAGTAATCAAATACTTAAGTACATTTTCAAACAAGACATCAGTTACTTCCGTTACTTTTAGAACGCTGGTCCTTCAGCTCAGAAACAGCAACGACTATAATATGGTTCTAATAACAGAGATAACGTTAAACCTATCAGTCTGAAAGAAGCCATGGAGCTTGTGGCTCGCTACATGCTCGGAGAAATGCTGCCGTTGTCTACGGTGGAGTCTAAATAGGTGGAGTAGGACTCCCTGACAGACATATTTCAGACTCAGGACTTGCATTATGCCTGGTACACGCTACATGCTGGTACTCACCAATTATCCCCGGTCGTCTTTCATGACGTGTGTGATGTCATCAGGTTATTCTTGTTCTATTTTTATTACTTTTACTATTATTTGAGTCACTGTGTCTGTTCATGTGCCAGCTGACATGTTGTTGTAGTCACCTAAAAGCGTCAGCAAATGGCAGGAGCTACATTTGAAGTGCCATACGTAAACTGTCAAGCTACTGTATCGTCCACAGGAAGTTCTGACAAATTAATTTGAAACAAGTGTTGAGTTTGAAATGACGGTGCGATATGTTAACTTTATAAAGACAACGGAGTGGATAAAAAGTAAATATACTGTATAAACACACAGAGGGATTAATAAATAACGGACCGTCTATAATGTAGTTTGTTTCAAATGAAGCTGGGAGCCTCTGCAGTTGTGGTAAGTAAAAGCCCCGCCGCTATTTGTTAATGTTATTACTTTATGTCCAACTGTGAGGATGTACCATTGTTTGCTAGCTTGATGCTAATGACAGTAACGTTAACTCAGCGGGTTGACAAAGTGCCACTGCTGTTTCACACCATCATTTCCCCCTTTTACTCTGTGTGGTAACATCCCTAGAGGAAATATTAAAAACGCTGGGGTGTTGTTGTCATACAGTTGTCTACGGCAGCAGATCGTTCTGTGTTTCTACTGGTCAAAGTGACGGCTGTGATGGGAAAAATGGATCTCAGTGAAGGGCAAGTGGTCCATAACTTTAATTATGGAGACAAAAAAATGTAGGCTTAGCGCCCTGTGGTCCATTGCCCAATAGGAAATGTAGAATACTCAAAAGTACTTTAAAAGTGCTTGAGTTATAACGTTGGAAGTACTTTTAAAGTAATTGAGTTACTTTACTCAGGGAGTAACGTAGTAAAGTAACTCGTTACTTTTTTAAAAAGTAACACAGTAATGTACTTTGAATACTTTTAAAGTAACCCTTACCCAACACTGACTGGGACTAACCACAGACAGTCTATGGGACTAACTAGCTTACTGCTACTTCTGCTATCTCACTGGAAGTTGCGCACATAATCATTTCTAGAGTAGTGCCCTCAGGAATAAGGTGAATTATGATTATTCTAAAGTGATTTGAGAAAGTACAACCTACTTCCATTACTACAATCAACATCTACATGTGTTCCAACTCCTGACTGAGAGGATAGGAATGTTATAATATCATACAGGGCTAAAATGATGAACTGTGGATTTTGTTATGATTCAGCAGGCATACTTGCAGCAATTTCTGTATTGTGTTTGTGAACAATATAAATGATTATATTATCCAGTGACTGAGGAAGAGGGCCCACAAACAAGGCTCTTCCATCAGTTGACCTGTCCCACCCCCGGTCGCACCACAATCACTATGATATATTAGTGAGCACAGGGTACTAATGTTTTATTTATTAGGTCAACATGACTGTTTTCATATACTGCACAGTATTAATATGAGCTCTCTGTATCTTAGAGCGAGTTAAAGTAGTTACAGCAGCTTCAATAATATGCAAATGTATGCGGCAAGGTGCTCCAACATCTAATGTGATAATCTATTCTCTGGGTGATGACTGTTTTGGTAAATGTGAAATTAATATCAGGTACCGTTCTATTTACTTCAGATGGACATTGTGGGACATTCAAATAGGTTGCAGTGTGTCTCCTAGGACTACACCATATTTTTTTTAAAAACATTCTGTTCAAGCTTCAAGTCTCCAAGGGCTCTAACTCAGACTCTCCAGACCTGCGTTGGACGTCTGGCACAAGTCTGCGAGAGAAGAGATTTTAAGAGCCAAACAGAGCAGATGAATGTTGATGCAAGAATTCAGTTTTGTGTAGATAAGATGTAAGCAGTCTAGCAGCCACAGGCAGAAGGAGACATAAAAAGGCAAGAGACCGGCTGGACTCTAAAGGGAAGAAGAAGAAGAAGAAGAAGAAGAAGAAAAAGAAGAAGAAGAAGAAGAAGAAGAAGTGATACTCTGGTGACTTGCGTCCCCATGCTTCAGCTGCCACTGACCTAGAATGAACTCCTGGATCTGATCAAAGGATTCGAAGGCGTTCACGTTGTCACACAGCCATTCGATGATCTAGAGGCAGGACAGAAGCACACAGGGGACAGGTGTCAATGTGGTGGGAGTGCAACAAGACAGCAGTAAAACATGAGGCGTTTTCATTTTTTCCAAGAAACCCCCTTTTTGTTGTGTCTGCACCTTAAGAACAAGAAACTACTGTAGTTCTTCAAACGCCATTTTGAAGGACTTTTTTAGCTCCCATTTTAGAGTAGGTTCTCTCCGAGCACAAAAGGAACCTTGAGTGAGGTAAGCGACCAATGATTGGTTGAACACAGCCAATGCAGGACTGGCATTTAAAAACCTGTTAGTCATGTAAACAACAGACCAAACAACAGCTTGTAACAAAGAAATGGAAGAAAACTGACAAATAGATCGTCAGTGAAGTCCAGACTTTACTGAGCATACAAGCAACAGTGGAAATACAACACAATCTCAACCCGTCAAAGCAAAAGTGACTATACCAACTGCTGGCCGGCTTATGTCACTACAGCATTTTATTGCAAGTGTGAACTTACACAGAAAAAAAGCCTCTGAAGGTATTTTGTTCTCGAGGGAGTTCCCCCGTGGGCAGTTCCTCTCAGGGAGTCCCCACAACTGTCTGGGGTCATCTTTCAATATAGAGTGGAAGCTTGGGGAAACAGCTTGTCTGGCTCAGTCCAAGGCAGGTTACAAAGATCCACCTCCCAGCACCTCTAAAGCTCATTCATTTAAACATCACATCTCAATTGATAAATCATCACGGAAACTGAAACATAAAAACAAGTTGCAGTAATGTGCTTGATGATTTCTTGGCTAAACACAATGACTTCCTGAAGTCTCACTGGTTGACTGGCGTCCTCATGGTTACATTACGACTGTACAGATGAGGAGCTAGTAGGTGGATTTTTAGCCCTTTTCCATACACATGTGCTGCTGGCTTGGCTTGACTTGGTTTGATTCGGCGCATTTCCCAATGTGGCACTCTCTTCAACACTATTTACTAGACCGTCATGCAATGGTTGTTGGTAGCCATCGACTTATTACGATTTTGCTTGACACCTAATGCTTATTGCTTGAAAAACAAGCACAAGATGACAAAATGGATCGAGAAGACAAAGACGCTGAATCATCCCTGAATGATGACAAAGCCCATGTTACATAAACACAACCCTCTTGGAGGCATTCGAGCGTGCTTGGACCTGACTCTAGAGATGGTCCATGTCAGGTGCGACTTGCCGCAACAGAGCACAACTTGGCGCGTTTAAACTGGTAATGGAAATACAAATCAAAGCAGCATGGTCTGACTCAAGACGACCAAAAGTGCCAATGGAAAAGCACTACTAGCTACCTTTGGACAGAGCCAGGCTAGCTGCTTCCAGACTTTCAGACTAACCTAATCGTCTCCTACCTAAAGCGTCATATTAGGCATACAAATAGGGGTGGTATCGTCTAAATCGCGGCAAGAGGGTGAAGACGTATTGCTACGTAAGTATGTGGAAATATGCCTTTAAAACCAACCTCTCTGTTTCACTCGTTCAGGTGTTTAGGGGGCAGCAATAGCTTAGTCCGCAGAGGCTTCGCTTGGGGACTGGATTGTGGACGGATTGCTACACGGGAGAGTTCACCTCCTGGGAACTGCTGCCTTAAAGCAAGGCACCAAACCCCCGACAGAAAGGATTATTCATTCATTCATTAATTTTCCGTAACCGCTTATCCTGTTAGGGGTCGCTAGGGTGCTGGAGCCTATCCCAGCTGACACTGGGCGAGAGGCGGGGTACAAACTGGACAGGTCGCCAGACTATCGCAGGGCTGACACATAGAGACAGACAACCATTCATGCTCACATTCACATGTCCAAAAACATGCAGGTTAATTGGTGACTCTAAATTGCCCATAGGTGTGAATGTGAATGTGAGAAAGTATTAGTAATGTGTATCATTATCATGTATCAACATGGCTCTAGGGATGGCAAAGACAGTCGCTTGGTCCACTGCTTTGGTGCAGAGTAGACTGAAATAACAAAAATTAGATGGAATATTGCCTTAATATTGGGTCTTTGGAGATCCCCTGACTTTTCATTAATGCCACCAGCAGGACATTAACTAAGATGGTGAATATAGTAACCATACAAACATTGGCATGGTTATTATTGTCAGTGAGAGCAGGCTGGTGTTAACCACTACTATGGCTGTAGAGTCTTTATCAAACAGTAGGCATCTTGTTTGGTGATAAAAACAGGTCTAGTCACTGATGAGGATTTTCGAGATGATGGGTATACTGATGTTTGCATTACAGAAACATGAAATATTAATGATGTCCTCAAAGATAGTCCCTGCAAATCTCACAGCCGCAGCACAGCAGAGCGAAAACTCATTTTCTGTTGCCCATTTCTCTGCTATTTGAACAAAGATCTCTTTTCCAAAGTCAGTGCGAGTCCAGAGACAGACAACACCGCATAATTGTGTGAAGAGAAAGAAGAAGAAGAAAAAGGTTCAAGTAGAAAAACTTAATTTGCACAGCATTCTTTTGAGGTTACAAACTGCAGTCAACAAACAAAAAAAAAGGTATCAAGCAATCGCCTTCATTAAAGCCGCAACGTTTTGCGCTGCTGGCCCCATTAACAGAGTCCACCAAGAGTACAAAAGTTATGTGTGGTGTCCAATTTCCCAGTGCTAGCTGCACTAATGAAGCTGGTGACTCATTTAACCTCTAAAGAAAGAATTTATTACAATCTATCAGAACAACTGGAACATCTTAATTTCGGTGTACTTCTAATAGAGTCTGAGTCATCGTCAGCTCCGTGCCCAAACAAAATATCTGCCCCTTTCTTTCTCTCTTTGTTTGACTCTGTTTGATCTCTGTCCACTTGTCTTGTCTCCTCTCCTGTTTTATTACAGCATCCTGTCGTCTGCCCTCCAGATTCTCACTTCCAACTCAAGGTTGACACCTACTGAATTCACACAGAAGTGCAGTGAAGCTGCCATCTCTACCTTTATCTATTAATTTTTACTTCCTCCGTTCCCTTTCTTTGAAGGAATGCATCAAACAGTGACATTAACATCCATAATCTTTGTCAGGTTTCCCTCTTCTCTGCTTCTTTGTTGTTCCCTTACATCTGCATTCAGTCCCTCCCTTCACGTAGTGATAATATTGAGCTTGAGACTAATTAAACAGTGATAAGAACTGACGTTTTCAATGATTTTATGTTCAACAAATAAAGGATGCCATTTAGTTGTATGGAAATGCAATTTTGGATGACAGTGTTTGCTCTGTGGGGGCTTCAGATGATGTGTTACATCTTTCATTTGGCCAGATTGTATATATATTTTGTTGTACGTATTCATGGCTCAGTCCAAACCTAGAGGGGTCTGAGGTCATGTTCTCCCTGGGAAATTTTCCCCATTTACAACAGCTATATGCGCTATTCTCGAGCAATTTGAGAGAACAGATCACCTACAAATCTGTACATCATTTGGGGAAAACATGACAAATGCCAAGGAGAAAAATCCTCCTGTGGTGCCTACATCCTATTTCTGTATCTAGTTGTTCTACATCTGTCTTCATTATCCTGAAACCAGAGCACAACAAATGTTAAGGATGACTTATTTTCACTCCTGCCACCTAATAAGAGGCAAAAACTGTCTGATGTTATTATTTTTTAGTTGCATAACATAGGTAGGATGGCAATTTGGTGTTAATAGCATCAATGATCTTGTGCTCTCACATAGCCAGACCTATTTCCCCACGCTGTGTCAGCGCTAAAGCCCTAGAAGCAAACATTATTATTCTGCTACAGGGGGAAGAATGCTCTGGCTTATTTGTATTTCTTTAAACCTGGCACAATTGTCTTAGGCAGCGCTAAGCCCAGGATGCAGCAACAGTGCCCTTGCAAAATACTTTCTTGTTTTGGTGGAATATTTGTATGTGGCGAGGCGAGCACTGTCATTAAAAAGGCTGCTACGCCTCAAAAAACAATAACAGACATATGTCGACTGTCTTTTTTATCAGTAAAAATTCAATCCTATGAACATTACTTGATAATCAGTGCCCTAAAGCTGACTATTCTTAAGCTCTTGAAGAGCTCACTGAACCTTTTAAAGCCACATACCATTTGCTGGCTGTATGGGACTCTTGCAGAACATTACGACAATATCTTGGAAGCTTGTGTTAAGAGGATCAGATTGGTATGTTGGTGAATATAGTGTCACTGGATACATGCCACTGCCAGGGCAAAAAGATGTGGCAAATCAACTCCGACTGGCCATGACAGAAAACAGATCAACATGGGGCATTAAAGTCCTGAGAGACAGAGTCTGAGTTTTTCCGAGGCACGTTCAGGAGTTGTTGTATTTATTGCAGATCTTTACAACAATTCATTGAAATAACAAAGCAGACATGCCCGATTGCACGATCCAAATCTTCTTCAAAACTTGCCATTTTCAGCAGGTAAGTTGTTTGCTCAGAGGTTGTTGTTGTTTGCTATAGCGAAGGGGAATACCGGTCTAAATAGCTGGCCGATGGCAGATTTATCGCCATATTCTATAGCCAGTGAGTCACACCACTGATCTTGAAATCTTTTTCTTTATATTATGGTGGAGTAGAGTTCACAGAATAAATGTTTAGCTGATGAATCTGCTACATTTGAATCAAGGGCCATAATAATCTGGGCTGCTTTAACTGCAAATCAAGGATCTTCAACAATGCTGAGTTAATGTGGTCTTCAATACTCTGAATTGAATATGAAACCAACAGAAGAACGTTTCCTCAATTATATTAGATTTCTTTAGGGAATAGCATAGTAGGATAAACGACATCGGAATATATTATCCTGTGAAAGTTGAAGGTTTTTTAAAAGCCTAAAGGATTTGGGGATTTTGAGAAAACATTCAGGGCTGGAGCCCCAGAAGCTACCTTCCGACTCTGCCTCTGTTTGGGGAAAAAAGTTTACTTTGCTCTAACTTTAACACAAAAACTCAGTAAATTTGCTTTAGATGTCAATACTTTGTCCTCCCAACTTCTTCCCTGCCTTCATTTGTACCTTCAGCTCCAGGTTTGGGTCGTTTCCCATGTAAACCAGCAGGTAGTGGAGGGCGGCCAGGCGCTGAGGGTCAGTCTTACTGCTGGAACACCTTGGATGGAGGTGACATAGGGCAAATTTACTTTTATACGACATAAGCATATGCAAACACAAGAGACACAAAGGCAGACAGCAAACAGTCAGGTGATGTATATGCTCTTTAAAGGTGGAATGAATAAGTGAATGAATGGATTGAACAAAATCGAGTAAGGGGGCCACTGATGCATCTTTATTGAGCCGGATGGTTGAATCCAATCTGCTGGCAACGACTCAACTTAAAGCTGTTCTTACATTTATTGCAAAGAGACTCTGCAGGTGCACGCAAAAATAACTTCTCAAAAAATAGCTTTCTACCTGTCTGCTCCCTGCCTGCACATATATTCCCCTCTGCTCTCAAGTGCCTCCTCTTCGTATATAAATAATAACCCCAATATACATTAATCTTTCATTTTCACAAAAAGATATGAATCACCTAGAGGGAGTGTCTGATCGCAGAATCCGCAGCAGGAAGGCAGGGCTGAGCTCAGCGGTGTGGATCCTCCCGCTGGCCAGGTCTAAAAAACTACCACTGGACTCTTGTTCTGCATGCAACACCGTGATGTTAGCCGACTGACACTGCAGGCCCAAGTCTGCGTCGAGACCTTTAAGTTGTTGAGAAAAACAGACAGAGAATAAGACACTTTCTACATACAAATACCAATGAAACATTTGTCTGTATTTAAATATCAGGAAAAAATGTGGCTGAGAAAGGATGTTAAGAAACTGCTCCACAGCCATCACTCAGCTTGGACATGATTTGCACCAAAAACTTGTCTTACCTGAGAGAAAGAGGGAGTGACAGAGCATCTCCTCCTGCCTAGTGTTGATACAATGGAGGAAACAGTCCTGCAGATACACCAGGATGTGATAACCTACATATAAAAATAACACAGCATCACTACTATGTCGAGTTGACATGCTGCATGAGGACACATTTGTATTTGTGAGTCTGTGTTGCTGTCTTGAATGCAAGAGTAAGGAATGCGTGTCGACCTTACAAACTCACACACTTGCGTTGAATTTATATGGATTCTGAGGTGTGTGTGTATGACTTGTTTTACATTTCTGTGTGTGCAGTGACCTAGAGGGATGAAGAGTGGATGCAGCTGTGCAGGGTTTTGTGGCGACTGGTCGCTGTCCAGCGACACTCTGTGCATCTTGCTGCAGTCTGCAGGAAGTGAGGAAAGCCATATTTGTCACCATGTGTTACAGATAAAAACAGGAAAAAAAGACAGTAATAGAAATGAGGTATAATAGATCCTTTGGCATACAGTACACACCTTTGTGGACCAAAAGCACAGTGTACATCAGTTCCTGTTTGTCTTTAAGAGGCTGGCTGTAGCACACACACATGCTTCCTGAAAACAAACGACAGGGACAGTGCAGTTATGGATCGCACAGCAGGCACCGTCGATAAAATATAACGCACATCCATAATGACATTCATGATAATCAAAAAGAAATGAAATCAGTTGTGACAGTAAATCAATTCACATATGAATACCTTACATTGAAGATATAATATGCAGGACTTTCCTGATAAACAATGTACAAATAATCCCTCTCACTCTTCACTTATGGCCCACTACAAGAGCAAGGTGGTGTATTTTTATGCAGAGACTCTGCCCTCTCTTTTCTGTGCTTGGGTTGTTTATGGGCATGTACTCCCACAGCGTCAGGTGAGGTAGCGACCAGGTGCCAGACTGTAAACAGCAGGCATACAAGCGACACAACACCAAAAAACACATATGCAAAACGAGAGCAAATCTGCGGTCGGATTTTACTTTCACTTTAGCTAAAAACCTGCATAGTATACCTTTTAATAAACTTTTTAAAGGTATATCCATTGGTGAGAGGACAGGAGTAAGGGTGAATGATTGATTCCAAAATCAAAGATTCAATCAACACTTTAATGAGTGAATCAGATAATAACTCCCTCCCTTGTTGGGGATTTGACTTTTAATCTTTGAACACTCTAACTCCACCACACAATCTTACTTTTGCAAACAAATATGAACCTGATATCATTGATCAGCACCTCATTTTGAAGTGTAACTCTCCCAGAAATGTTTTGATCATCGTGCCATCACTATGACTGTGAATTATGCACTGCAGATTCTAACACAGCCTCGTACATGTGACAGGGACTTACTTTCTTGTTTCCACAAAGAGGAATGCAAAACACACACACAGGTAAACAGAATTAGTCACGAAAGTGGAACTTCAGTTTGTGTGCGAGCACATTATTCATGGAAGGAGTCTGATGTGCGGATGTGTTACCTATGCTGTTTGTGAACACTTCCATCCTAATGAGCTCCTTGTCTGGTCTCTCCATGTGATAATGGTCAAAACCCAGATTTACAAACCTGTTGGACACACACAAAGTAAATACAATAATACTTGAAGGTGCCTTGCACAGCACAGGAAGTGTGCAGGAATTCATTTTAGTGTTTCTAATTGCAGGTAAATGTCAATAATATAGAATTAAGCTCCTGCTGAGAAAAGATATCTATATTTTTACTGCGCTATTAGTTGTTGTCTTACTTGACTGTGCGGAAAAGATTGGCAGGCAACTTTAAAGGAAGCTCCAACTGTGGGATGATAATAATGTGCAGCAAAGTGTGTTATTATCAGAGGCAAGCAGAAGTGAAAATATACTATGGTAAAACACAACTCACCACAATTTCGCAGTTATGGTTGACGTAAAACTGAACGCATCGCAGCAGGAACTTTTCCTGTGAAATGACATCATAAAGATTTTGTGTTATTTAATGTTCTTTGTTCTGTGCTGTCCATAGTAGGGGTGTAAGAAAATATCGATACACTCGAGTATCTCAGTGTTATGTTTTGTGAGATTGTATTGCTTTACAACAACACTGTATCGATTTTTCATTCATTCATTCATATACAGGGTGATAAAAATGCTAAAGTGCAGATGTATAGTTAAAAGCATTTACACTCAGTTAAAACAAGATCAGAAATAAGGCTCTTAAACAGCTGTAATGGTGTCAGAGTGTCCAAGTTTAAGGTCTTTTGTAGATGAGTCCATGTCTAAGGTGCAATGTAAGAGAATGTAGTGTAATGTACTGATTTACTGAAGACATATACTGTACCTTTTAGTTGACTTTTAAAAGATACGTGTTGAAGCAGTGTACTCTGTGCATTGACAAATTACACACTGGTTTATTATTTCATGTATTCACTCCTATGACACACACACTCACTGAGCATTTAAGCATTGTGGTGGAGAAGTACCTAGGCATCATTTCTAAAAATAGCATGAGGATGTGCTCAGAAACACTGGTGGAAAATTAGGGGAATTACAGCTTGTCCTGAGAATGACCCTAGTAAGAGGAGGCAGTCTTAGATTGTCTAGGAAAAACATTACTCAGCAGAAATATGACACCATTATGGTGGTAGGATGAAAGGAGAAAAAGTGACTCAGCAGAGGTGGGATATCGTTACGATCAGAGCCAAGTGGGAAGGATTAAGAAAGAGATGACTCAGCAGAAAATCTTTACAATAAAAACAAGTGCGCAAACAAAGAAATTTCAGTCTTGCTCAGGAGCTTGACTCATTGGGTTGTGATGTGTTTGTTGCCTGCGAGCACATTAAACTCAGTTGCATCTGATTCTACGTGTCTCCAATGATTTTTTTTTGACCTCTGAGTATTTGAGTTTTTGATATCTAATGGAAGACAAAGAAAGTCCGTTTGAGAGGAAAAGAGCGAGGTCGCGAGCTAACTGGCCCAGCTCCCGACCATTTGAATTATTTTGCTTCTACAAGAATGACATGCTTCCTAGTTCTGTTCTGATAAAGGGAAAGTGAAGCAACAACCTATTATGTAAGCAAGAAACATGATTATGTGAGGACAGAGTTAAGAGTGATGTCTGAATTTTATTCCCAGGTTTGGTTCAGGGTGAAAAAAGAACATGCAGGTAAGATCGCAGGTGTTGGTGCAGGTGATAAATACAATAAATAAAATGGGAATAATAAAAATCTAATATCAAGTTTGAACATTTTAATCCTCTATTGTGTCGGCTCTGTCTTCTGCGCCTTCTGTGCTTAGGATATGCGGTGTCAGGGTTGAGCCATAGATCTTGTGTCGACAAGTCTAGGAACTAATTGGTCGTATGTACAGGTGGTGGGGTGGGTCCAATATTGCTCGCTGTGGCCTGAAAATCAGACCCATCCAAGACTCTGGTTTTACCTCTGATCACTAAATAGCAGTGTTGTAATCTATCTTCAGTCATTCGACTCTTCCACTCCGCTACCGTTAACACAAAGAAGTAGGAGTCCCAAAAGGTTCCCTACTAGCATTGACAGTTTTCCTAAAATTGGATTTTAAAGTCCACAGCCATCTTTTTTGGATTGATGTAACCCATTGCAACGTCCTCACAAATACAGTCATACATGCCTGTATGTGTGTTGCACTGTGAGTGAGATAGTAGATTCTTTGTGTGTGTCTGTCCCACTGGACCCAGCAGAAGTCCTCCACTATTCTCTCTGCGGTTTTGGACAAACGCTCTGGATTCGCCATCACCTGTTTCACACAAACACATTGATATTCAGCTTCGTAGACACACTGAATTCCTGCTGTAAAGCTCCCCGGGAGGGCACAAGACACAGTATAGTTTATGGCTCGAGCGGCTGAGACCATATATTCTTTGCAGCGGGTTATGTAAATACATTCCAACCTTTTTTCTTATCAATTATGAGATATGTGCAGAATTTATACCTTTAAAAAACGGCACAGAACCAACCAGCCAGAAAAATCCTCAACGCAATTTATAGTTAAGCTGAGGCCGCTAACCACAGACACTTCCTTCAAAAAGAAAAACGAGCTGGCCTAAGTGAGCAATGTGGTGAATGTAGAGTCCGACTCACCACTCGGTAACCCTCCTGTTTCGTCAGCACAACGTGGTAAAGATCCACATCTGAAATGCACAGAAGGATATGCATAACCACAGCTTGATCCAGCGTGATGTTTCTCCTGCTGTTTTCTTCCTCTCCAAATGTGAAAACCCAGATTATGCCTCTCTAAATTTGATGATCTGTTTTGTTACAGATTAAACACGGCCCACACAGACAGACGAGCACAAGAGCACACAGACTCACATCCATCCTCAGTCAGCAGCAGCAGGTGGCTCTCCAGCACTGATCTCCTGTCACTTTCTGAATGGAGGAACTAAGGACAGCCGTAGAAAACACGAGTCAGCATCTGGTGGTTTACAACAGTTAGCAGATGGAGACATCTACTTGCTGATTTTCATGTGTTAATGCAAGCCTTAAACATTCTTAGCATATCTTTAAGTTTGTGGTTTGGCAATGAGACGATCACCCAACAGTAAAGACGACAGAGGCTACAGCCACAAAGGCCTGATGACATTTATATAAACAACATCCCTCTGATCATAAAAAGTTCTAACTGAGAAAGAGAGGAAGATAAAAGAGAAAGAGGGGGGATGGAAACTACGGGCCAGAGCGCCTTCAGCAAGCTTGAAAAATAAAAAGTACATGGCACACATACACTGTTATACACAGTAACTGCAACATCAGTTTGTGGCTACAATAAAACCAGCATGAATGTGGCCAAAACAACACACAAACACACACACACACACACACACACAAAACTCTACCTGCACTTTGACCCTGCAGTCTACTGCCTTGAGGACTTTAGTGTTGTTTATGGGATGGATCTCAATCAGGAGGGTTAGACACTTGGATACTAAGACAGAGAATGTAAGAGGAAATTAACAGTATGAATGGGCTGATGGCACGGTCTGTAGATGAAACAGAGAGAAAGAGATGTTGGGTGTTACTTGGTTTGAGGCGCTCCTCTCCTGTGGTGTTTTGTGCCAAGCTGACAGCTGAGAAGGAAAAAGCACAGGCAAGGTGTTATATGACTTAATCTAAATGTATTCTCCACAGAGACTACCACATGTCTGGGTTTCTTTAACTACAATTTGGCACCATCACAGTCGATAATGTCCGATGGCTCAGATCCAAACAAAGCTTCTCACTTAATAGCCCGATTTGGGGTCAAGAACACACAGTAGACTGTTAAAAATATTGGACGTAGCCACCGTGACATCATCCATTGGTTTGTGGACCCCTGTTTTGAAGCCTCGGGTTTGGCATTTGGCCGTTGCCATCTTGGACTTTTGGAGCCAGAAGTGACCTGAGGCTACCATATTTGGACAGGAGGGTGGAGCTGTGGAGGAGCGAGGGGTGGAACTGACCAATTAACTGAGGTGACACCTAGCACTCAAAGTGGCCATGCCCTCACTAACGGATAACTTAAAGCTTTAATAAGAGTTATATCAAAGTTTGAGACTGTCTTCCTCCAAAATACGACCACATAGAGCATTTTCACAGCAGAAATTACAACCCATGTTTATCTTTTTTATTAGGCTGCGACCTCTAGTGGCCGTAGCAATTATTACGGGAACAAAGGAGAAACTCACACGCGAGGTATAAAGAGTGAGAAAGTCTGCTTAGGATGGGAGAAGGGAGGGGAGGTGGGTGGGTCAAACAAACACCAGACTTTCGTCCAGGAAACCAGTGTCTGTGTCTCTTGTGAATCCAAAAGTCAGTGTAGAATTATTTTAAAAATGAAACGTCGTATGTTGACATATGTCACGTGACAAGTCTCCTGACAGATTACCTTAGTAACAAACATAGTTATATAAAGCCAAACCATGATGTTTTGTCAAAACCTAACCAAGGAGTTTTGTTGCAAAACCGTTTTTCGTACCAGGCTGTAAACATGTTTATTTCTGTTTTTAAGTTTGGCATTTTAACATAGGGGTTTGTGGGAGTTGACTCGCTTTTGGAGCCAGCCTCAAGTGGCCATTTGAAGAACTGCAGTTTTTGGTACTTCTGTATTTGCTTCATTTCTCAAAAATATTTTTAACAATGTCTGTTGCTAGTAATTGATTATGTGTACATTACAGAGGCTCACCTAACAGTGTCTCCTCCTTGTTCAGGGAACAGCTGCTGACACACACCTGCTTGTCAAATGTGTACAGGAGCTGTTGGAGAGAATTTACAACCACATGAAGACGGACGCACAAAAGCAAAATCTGCTGCACTAAAGCCAAGGTGACATGGGACACACACACAATACCTTATTCTGTTTGGAGTTGGAGTCATATTTCCCAATCCTAGTAGTCCCTGTTGCTCCCTGTTTGAGAATAGGAAGTTAGAGCAGAAGGATAGAAGAGCTACTCAGTTCATTAAATCAATCAAACTAAAGAGTTGGATAATGGTAATCTGTCCCAACAGAGCCGCCCTACATTCCCACTGGTGTCCTCCACCATATTAATATGTGTGGAACGTCACGCTTGACCTCTTCATTACCTTGGTTGACCATGCTGATTATCCTGACTAGACCTGCTTCACTTCTAACCAGCGAATTCAAAAGTCTGCTTGAAACCCAAGGCAGTGCCAGGCATGCATAAAGCTGTGAACCTTGCACAAAAAAAGAGATTATTTCCTCTTTGCAGGCTGCAGAGTGTCTTTAACCTACTAAACCCACAGACTCTTTGGTGGGTCTATCATTAAAAATTTATGTTGTGCAGGGGAGCGCGGTTCAGCACACAGAACTTTGTTTGAAATTCTGGCAAAGATCCCAAGGTTTCAGAAAATATGTCAAGCAGAATTATGGAGAAAGCTGTTTAGAGAATGTTTTTTTATTTGATGATGAATGGTGGGGACAGAAAAAATGGCATTTGGGATTTGAATATTTTATCTACTGTGACTTCAGTGAAGGACTGAAGCAAGCAAATATGGTATAGTTTGTAATCAATGTTATATCTAACAAAATGTAAACTAAGATACTCAAATGTTACACTTCAACACATGTAACCTGCCCCAAGATTCAACATGGCGATGACAGTAAAAAGAAGAGAAACCAACGCAGGTTGTAACACAACTTAAATGGAAAGAGCACTGGATTAATAAGGATTAGAATACACCCACTCAATGAGTACATTCAGTATACTTAACATGCACTGCCATCACTATGGACTTACCTTCCAGGAATAAAGGATGCCCCCATCCCTCTCAATGTTCAGGATACGAGTGTCCACTGCTCCAGAGTATTCTGCTGACACAGCATCGTTATCATGAACAACAGCGTGCCCTGACAAACAAGATTTTAGTATCCCTACCAATGCTCAAGCTGGACATACTAAGTGTTATGATAGATGAGAATATAGTGTGTTTCCCCTGTATTATAACTTGTAATTACAAGCATAAGGTGACCAGATGTATCAGTGAAGGAGTCTGTAAATGTGCTGCATAATATTATGAGACATGATCAGATGCTGATGCATTATCTGCATAACCAGCACTGTCATGCATCACTTTCAATACACTTTTATCATACGTCTGTGTGCTTAGTGTTAAGTTTACAGTAAAAAATGTCATGCAAACAGAGTTTTTATGTCTTATAATGTTGCAGCAAACTTTATCTAAACAATTAAAGCAAACTTTTAATTGCTTAGATAAGACTTTGTTGGTTTTAAATTTAAGATGAAATCATCACACATGAACTCAAACACTTGAACATTATGAAATCGTGTTATATCTTAATGTTGCAGTTGTATTGTTGTTGCTGTTGTTACTGTCGCGATGACTTGATGTTGTGTTGTCTTGCTGTTGTTAATGCTGAAGCCATTGTGTCATGAATATGTTCTATTTTGTATTTTTTTTCCGATCAACTGTTTTTATTGCATTATAACATAATTCCACATGCATATACAAAAAACAAACAAAAATAACCCAAGTCAAACCAGCAAAAGATGTTTTAAAATTGTGATTGTTTTTTATAGTGTCTTTTAGCAGAGAAATTGTTCCCTGTTTCTCGCCCAGGGACTACAGAGGAAAATTAGCTTAATAACTGTGCACTGTCCCTTTTTAAATAAATTAAATAAATAAATAAATAAATAAACAAACCAGCATGATATTTGAAAGTCTCGCCTAAATATGGGGATTCTGCAAAAATAATCGAATTATCTATTTTCAGTCCTGTGTTAACCAATTAGTGGTTACACTGGAAATAAAATAATCTGCATTTTATTTAGTTTATATTTTCTCTAATTAGATATAGGATAAATATATAGATGCTGGAAACATGCAACTCCAGATATTTTGGGATATTTATTTAATTCATTGTATTTTTTAAGAGTTTTTTTGTAGTTTATCTTTTAATTTAAAATGTTATTCCATTATTAGGACGCTTGAAAGCAGATATATACTTGATTCATTCCCTTATAAAGGTATTTAGAAGGGGAATGTGAAGAGTAAATAGCGCCATCTACTGGTGTACACGTATTAACCTTTAATTACTAAAGGATTTCTGTTTTTAAAGCTAAAGCTAACGTTACAGCAAACTCCTAGCTACACTTTCTTACAGAAATATACGTTGTATAGGATACTGTGTACCGTCATACTAATTACACATAATATATATATAATAATAATGTACAATACACAGTTAAATTCACTCTGACTGTGTATTAACAAGGACAGGTTGAACTTAAACCTGATAGTTTAAGCTAGCAGTGTTAGCTTCATGTTGGTAGTTCAGCTTGGTGTGTTAACGGTTATAAACAGTTTAACAGTGGAACAGCAGCCGACCGTTGACACCTGAACGCCTCACCTTTCACCCTGCAGACCGACGCCTCCTTCCTGAGGATGTCACACACCACATCTCTGTGCAGGTCAAACTTTGGCTTTAACTTCAGCATGTTAACAGCACCTCTGTCTCCTTCTTCGCTTTCAGTTTAAACTCAACCTCAGCTTTTATAAAATCCTCCGGTGTGGTGTGTTTCCCGGCAGCTCGTGCGTGTCTGCTCAGGCTGGGCATCATGTGACCGAAACTTACATGCTAACTGTGGGCACCGAAAGCAGCAGAGCACCTGAACACTTCTTCTCATAAACTATATCCACTTCTTCCTCTTGTCTCCAGAAAGGTATTTTTATTGACATGCGGAAATGTCACGTTTTCCTGTAGTTTGGCTCCTCCCTTCTCCCGGAGCAGGCAGACGGGAGAGGCGCCGCCATAGGCCGAGGAAAGCGTCGGTCCAGCGGGTTGGAATGTGTCACCGTCCCGCTGAATGAGTGCGCCATCCAGGGTCAGACAGGCACTTCACACTGGTGTCACAATGTCACAGAGGGGTCCCATTCTGTTGCTAAATGTGTTTAATTAAAAGCCTGGCATAATAGTTTAAGACTTACACTAGGAGAAAGGCATGAGTGTTGTAAGTTTTAAGAGTTTTAGGTTAAAAGTTTTACATAAAATTAAAGCAAAAATATAGCTTTCTGCATTGATATGTAGTTTTTAAAAAGTGTATTTTTACCCTAACAATATGTCAAACTGTGACTGGCATTTTATCACTTAAAAAAAACATACAGTAGGCCAGAATGATAAATCAACAAAATAATGATTAATTGCTGCCCAATAGTACATTTAAAACAGGGGTGTCAGACTCATTTCAGTTCATGGGCCACATAAAGACCTTTTTTCCAAGTGGGCCAGACCAGTAAAACCATTGTATAATAACTTATAAATAACACCACCGATAAAAGTTTCCCTTTTTTGTTGTCAAGAAGTACAAGTACATTCTGAAAAGCCCTGAAGCCTCATTTTACATGTTTAACTTGCTCCCAAGACCTTATACCTCTTAGCCTTCACAACTGCATCAATATTAGGTGTGCAAAGTCATCCAATGGGTCAGATTGGACCCTTTGGCAGGCCAGTTCTGGCCCATGGGTCACATGTTTGACACCCCTAAATTAGAGGATCAGAAAAGTATGTTACTAGTAGCATTGGTATCTTTTCAGTAAGTGTTTGGGAACTGAGGACACTAACTGTTGAGGTTTTAAAAGTGAAATTCTTTCCCATTTTTGCTCAATATACGACTTCAGTTGGTCAAAAGTTCAGGGTCTCCACTGTTACATTTTGTGCTTCATAACTCGCCACACATACTCAATGGGAGGCAGGTCCGAACTGCAGGCAGGCCAGTCTAGTGCCCTCACTCTTTTACTATGAAGCCAAACTGTTCTAACACATGCAGGAAGTGTCTTGTCGATATCTTGCCAGAATAAGCAAAGAGGTCATCTGGATGGCAGCATATGTTGCTCCAAAACCTGTATGTACCTTTGAGCATTCATGGAGCCTTCACAGATGTACCAGTTACCCATGATGCCATGGGCACTAACACCCCTCCATATCATCACAGATGCTTCCTTTTGAACTTTGCACTGGTAACAATCTGGACAGTCCTTTTTCTCTTTAGCGTGGAGGACACAACATTCATGATTTCCAAAAACAATTTGAAATGTTGGCTCGTCAGACCACAGCACACCTACCATCTATCTCAGATGAGCGTGGGGCACCAAGAAGTTGGCAGCGTTTCTGGATGTTGATATACAGCTCTCACTTTGCACTGACAACTGTTTCAGTCTTTGCTTGTGAACAACTGAGTGTTTCGAGGATGCCCCTTACATACCCAATAATGATATTATTGCTTGTTACCAATCAAGCTGTTTACCTGTGGAATGTTCCAAAAAGCGTCCAAACTTTTTTGGAATCAAGAAATGATTCTCTTTCACTTTATTACGGATATCAGGTAAAAGTAAGGGTGCAAAATCAGAAATATGCTGGTGTCTGCAGATTATAATTGTTGTTAAAGTTGCAGAAAACACATCTAAACCCTTGGACAATCCTGATTCAAGATATAGCCAAATTGAACACTCTTAACATGCCAGAATATTAGGGGAAAGCAAATTAGGCAAGATGAGGCACCAATTTAAGTTGGCGCTGGTCTTGCCTGTCCTCCTAAGCCAGTGAGATGTCAATTTACTTTTTAAATCAAGGTTATGTTGCTTATTTTAATGTGAAATCCCTTCTCGAAAATGAATTTCAGACGGTTTATTTGAAAAAAAGTAGGACTTTTTTTGCTACTAAGTTGGATGCTGCTGACTGTTATAACCACATCAGTTCCCTTCCAGACAGCTCATAAAGATTATGCATGTCATTGCACTTTTATTCCCTCCAGAAAGCAAATCGTAATGAGTATTACTTCCTCTCTGCTCATAGTTATTGCACTGATAGCCTATTACGCCTCTGTTTGCTTTATTCTTTTGATCCAGACACACTTGCATCTTCCGAGCTATTGTCAAGCTCCAAAAATAACACTTTGTGATACAATAACAAAGAGATTGCACACACATTCATCCTGCATACCGAAAAGTATGAAGCATTTCATTGCAGTTCTGTTACGAGGGCACAAGCTTAGTCCCTTACTCTACTAACTGCTTAAATAACAAACCGCTGTAGATATATGTGTGCACACCAGGTGCACACACATACAGTACACCCCAATGAGCCTTTTAGTGTAATTTCTAATATTGTGACAGCATTTGATGACAAACACTGCCCCCTTCTGCTGAGTTTGAAAACTGAACATGAGAGTGGTTCATGTCTGCATCAATTCTGAGAGGAAATTGAAGCAAAGAGCTCCCACTCTTTCTCTGCTTTCCCACAGTTCTATAAACAGACTGAACACTTGTGCATCTGCTGCTGGATATGCCATTATTCAGTGTTGCCAAGCAAAGCATTAACTCTGTTTATGAGTTACTGGTCTTCTATTTTATTCTGTTCTCCTACAAAATACCATCTGGTACGACATAATTTGGAAGTTGCCATGATAAATAATGCTTTAAAATGATTGTGAAAGTGATTTTATAGGGGTTATAATTTGTATTTGTCACTTTTTTATTCATAGTGGTAAATACTTCCTCAGAGATACAAAATACCAAATGCTGTGTGCAATGAGGATAAAGTAAATTCACAAAAATGATATTCTTTGTCAATGGAAAATGAATTAATGTGTTATAAAGAAGGCCTTAGTTGAGCCTAGTCATGTAATTAAGAGTTAATAATTTAGATATGTGTGCAGTTTCTTTATGATGGGCAGAATTGAGAAATATCTCATCGTCCTTTGGGTGTGTTCAGGGCCGTAGCCATGGAGTCAACATTGGGGGGACCAAATCTGCACCTCCTGCAAAAAAAAAAAAAAAATCTAAATTTGAAAACCAATTCATTCCCTATTATGTCATATGATTTATTAAAATTTAATACAGCTATACATATATGCAACATGAATGACTGACTCCTACTCAGACTTCATTTGGGCTATCTGACAAATATAATGTAATAAAGACATTATCATTGGCAGAGTGTTACAATAATAACACCAACAGTTGGTGTACAGCAACACCACTTGGACAAACCACATGCAGGACGCAGTGCACCGTAAAACTAGAGCTGGGAGTTATAATAATAGCAATTTGCTAGGTTTATTTATGATTATGATTACATTTGTTAATGATTATTTTGGACAGGGCGTGTAGTTGATTGTGGTTGATTGACAGCTGGTGTACGGCAACACCACTTGGACAAACCACAGTTTATTTTTATTCATATATATATATATATATTTGGGGGACAGGCATTTTGAGCGTATTTGAATATTATGTATGATATTATAATTACTGCAATGGGTCTTTATCTTTCATTGATGAGTGATCATCTTTCTAAATATAGACACTCTTTGGTCAAGCCGGGTTGGCTGGCCGAGTGGAGCCGAAGATAGCCGAGGGATGCCGGAGTTTTGGTGACGTCGTTCCGCCCGCCCCTTCCCCCGCCCGCCCGGTTCCCTCGACTCGTCCTTCCCCCTACCCAGCTCCACTACCAGGCTGGAGCCCCCGGCAGCACAGCACGCAACACACTGACAGCTGCGACCGACTCACAACCAAGGGGGGAAAGATGGAGCACAGAGACGACGGCTTCAACATATTGCTAGCGACCGACTCATACAAGGTACCGTGCTCATGGCACTGTCAGGCGGAGGGAGACTGGGTTGGAGGGGAGCGGCTGATGGATGAAAATTGATAAAGTCAAGGTGGTTTCATCACCAGTCCCAAGGCCATCACACTGCTCTCTGTGGCCGGTTCACAGCAGGCCGAATGGCCAGGAGAGGGAGGAGGAGAGGGGCTGGTACAGCAGGGATGGGATACCAAATTCAGAAAGCGAGCATCCCCCTCTGAGCTAACTAGCTAACACAAGACCGTTGGTTATTACTGAGCCAGTTGCCCACCGGCTTTGCTAGTTAAAGTGGCACAAGCTAGCTGTGTTCGCTAGCCTGTTAGCTCACAGGGAGCGCAGAAGGGAGGCAAGGGGGACTGATATTTAAAAAAGCTAATATTAGCCACTAGCTAGCAAGTGCTGTGCGGATAGCCCGGTGAACTGCACATGGACAGTTTCATTCAAGAGCTCAGTCAGGCGCAATGTTAGCCAGCATGGGGCTAGTCACTACCGGCGGCAATGCCTCACTTTCGGGAAATCAAAACCGAAAGGTAAAAAGAGTCAGAGGGAATTTTCCCCTCTGTCATACAGCTAGGTTATCACAGTCCAAATTATTGCACACAGAGACGCTCTGTGTGTTTCAACGATATTCAACAGCGGGGTTAGAGCATTCATGGCAGATATAACAGCGTGTTGCGTTTAAGTACCACAAAACAGACCGCTAAACAATAATGGAGACTAAATGCACTTGCAGGAATGTATTATCGCATGTAGCAAGTGGTTGCCCAGGCCGGTTGCCATGTACAGGAGTCATGTGACAGTGTTCAGTGATGGTGTTGATGGGACAGCAGGGCCAAAATTACAAAGAGGAAAGGGAAGGGAGGTAGGGACAGCAGCAGAGGTTAAGTATACAGACGAGATACAGGCAATAGAGATTAAACTGAGAGGTGCTGACCGAGATTACATAACAACTGCAGTGATGCATAATGAGGTTTTAATTGTAGTCTAAGGTAAAAATAAGGTTTATGATGTGGCAAATACAAATGTGCACCATGGTTGTAATGATAACATAAAAACAGTAGCATTTATGAACCCAACCATGACCTTAATGATGAGGAAA